TCTATATATACCTTGTATTTAGTTATATTTCTTCATATTACACAAATATTTTCCTGTATTTTCCGTGATTTCCTCGTATTTTACTTTTTTTTTTCTATATATTCCTTTGTATCATCTAAATATTACCATATATTTCCCTATATTGCCTTATATTATCCAAATATATCCTCATATACCCTATATTTTTTCTCATTACCCTGTTTTCCATATTTTTTTCTCGTATTATCTAAATAGTGCCCTGAATTTACCTATATTTCACCGTATTACAAAAATCTTTCTTTTATTTGGCGCTGCATTTCTTCGTCTTATCGTGTTTTTCTCTATATTCCTTCGTATTATCTAAATATTGCCCTGTATTTCCCTATATTGCCTCTTATTATCCAAATATTTCCCTTTATTTCTTCGTATTACCCTGTTTTCCATATTATTCCCTCGTATTATCTAAATAGTGCCCTATATTTACCTATATTTCATCGCATTACAAAAAAGAATCCTTGTATTTAGCTATATTTCCTCGTATTACCCAAATATTTTCTTGTAATCTCCGATAATTCCTCGTATTATCCTGTTTTTATTTATATTCCCGCGTATTATCTAAATATTGCCCTGTACTTCCCTATATTCCCCGTATTATCCAAATATTTCTCTAAATTTCCCAATATTTGTTCGTATTTCGCAAATATTTCCGTATAATTTCCCTATATTTCCTCGTATTACTTAAACATTTTCCTGTGTTCCCTGCTTTCTTTCGTATTATACAAATATTTCCATATCTCGTATTACCCTGTTTTTCCCGATATTCCCTAGATTTGTTTTTCATTATATTCTTTGCTATTACCTAAACATTTTTTTCCTTATATTTCCCCATATTACACAAATATTTTTCAGTTTTTCCATATATTCTCTCGCATTATCTAAGTATTGCCATTATTTTCCTATGTTTGTTTTTCCCTATATTTCCTCGTATTACCCAAATATTTCCTAGTATTTTCGTATATTTCCTCTTATTTTCCTATACCCAAATATTTCTCTAATTTACCCATATCACCCAAATATTTTTTTGTTTTTCCCTATGTTCATTCGTATTATTCAAATATTTCCATTTATTTTCCATATTAAACATAATACCCTGTTTTTCTTTATATTCCCTCGTATTATCTAAATGGTGCCCTGTATTTCCCTATATTTCTACGTATTACCCAAATATTTCACTCCATATTTCTCTCTATTTCCTCGTATCACCCAAATATTTTCCTATATTTCCTCGTATTATCCTGCTTTTCTTTATATTTTATTATATAGTATTATCTAAACAGAGCCCTGTATTTCCTTATATTCCCTCGTATTACCCAATTTATTTTCCTTATATTATTCGAACATTTCCATGGTTGCGACATAATTTTTATGCGAATTATATCGAGATATCAACGAGTTTGACGAGCGACGCTTTAATCACGGGCACGGGCGGCGTCCTTCGTCGATAATGGGCCACCCCGTATACACGTAACGATCGGTTCGACGAAAACAGGCTTGATTCGCGAAAATGCTTTCGAGACACGAATACTGTCGCAGGCGGGTACACCCCCTCCCCCACCTTCCGATGGTTTGCGGGTAAGGTAGGGCATGGCGGAGACGGACTCCGAATGCCACGACCCCCGCCCCCCTAACCGTACCATTACTATTTTACCCCCCGGAGGAAAGTTACGACTGATGGCCTTCGTGTCACCACGAGATCGCCAGAGCTGTTAACCCATTTTCCCAATCGGCAGGTGGGGCCGTATAAAATATTTCTCTAAATAAATAGGGTTTTATTCGACAAAATACGAGAGAAAAAACAAAAAAAAATTTAACCAGACCAAAACGTAGTTGGCACTCAGAAATAAAAGTTATTTTTCTTTAAATTCTTCAATTTTTAATCTCGGATATCCTTGCAATGGTTTGCATTTGTAGGGCGTTCGATTTCCTATAAAAATTATCAACAAAATTGGCTTAATGATCTATCGGTGGTAAGATATGTAAGTACTTGCAACTGGCAACTAGTTTTTGTGTGTCACATTCAAAAATCGAACTTGGGGTCGAATTTTTCGAATGTTTCGTCTTGAGCGGAAAAAACGTATCCTAATAACTTAAATAACTAATAGAATATATACTAATATATGAACTACACACGTATAATTGAATTATGGACTTTTATTGATTTATGAAGCATTCAGTTTTCATTTTTACATTTTATATTGTTGTTTTTTACTGTTAAACACTGTTCTGATATGAGCAAGGTTTTTTTTGACAAAGTTTTTTGCTCCAGCGCATCACTTTACACTTTGCAACCGATTTGCAACGAAAATGATCTTTTAAAAAAATTCCGATTTGCGTCTGGAAATTCTGAACCTGTGAAGGTTGTATAGTGCTTTCGCAAATAATGGTTTGGACTGCGAAAAGGACGGAACAAAATACTGACATAAAAAAATTCGCAAGTCGGTACCGCAGTTTGTTCAAACGTACGACGAAAGTTGAAGTGTTTTCCAATTAAAAAATATTCCTGCTTGTATGCATACATGATAACCGGAACGTCGAAATCGCAAATAGACGCAATCAAAAAGATATTTACGATGACAATCGAATCAGAGTACAGGTACAGATCAGGTATATTGCGACCAAAAATATGGTGCATTTAGTGCTTTGACTGTTACTATTATGATATTTAATATCTTCTATATTAGTAAGAGCATTAGAACGTAATAAAGATGTTACTTTTTACAATTTTTTTTATGTAAATGTTTCAAGAATTGTGCGGCGAAAAAGATTGAAAACATACTTATATCCCGTGTGTTGATGTAGGTAGTACATGTACTGATAAGGGTCTGCTCGGTAGGGTGTTCTATAATAAGAAGTAGGCAAAGTTAATCACGGGGCCGGTTGTAAAAGCGCTATATTTCTGGTCGAAGTATACGTTACCTTATCTCAGTACGACATCCTGGAAAAAAATTAACTGCAACAAGTGTTTGACCCTAAGTATATACTTTCTTTATAGTATTTTTATGTATCCACTATGTATTTTTAAATGTACCCGATCGGTTTTGAGCATTTTTTTCTCGTCACCTAGCATAAGAAATGCGTTTTTTTTTACACTTAAAAACTAACTTCGTGATTTTTTTATTATGGAAACGGTGGAAGTGATTAACATTTAATGCTTTGACCTATCTATGACGAAAATACAATATGTAGGGTGGTCACGAATGACGGTCACATAAATATTTTTTTCTAATTAACAAAACTCAATTTTTTTAAATGGAACGTCCTGTATTTGGCGCACTTTTTTTTTAATAAAACGTCTCGTTCAATGGCTAATTTTTTTCCGTCTCCCACGATTTTTGCGCTCGGGTAGCTGGCTAATTGCTCGCCGCATTTCAAGGACGATAAATAAATAAACAACCTTTTTCCTTTATCATCGACGAGAACACAAAAGATCGAACGTTATAGGAACTTATTATACGCTTGCCGTTAAAGGATGATTAAGCCCGCGTCCAAACCACGGCCGAATTTCGATCGTAATTAATCGCCGTGTTTTTTTTTTCAACGCTCTTCAATGTCGTACGCGAGTTTTCCTCCGCCAAATAAACACGTACGACGGGAAAACCATTTTGTTTTCCTTTTTTACCGCCCGATTGTTCTGCCGGCGCCGAAGCTTACCTTTTTGAACGAGGCGTTCTCTGGATTTTTACGAAATATCGCGTAATTAAGCGGTACTACTTGCCGCTGCGCATTGAGCCGATGTTCGCCGCGTCACGCTTCCTACGCGTCCGCGGACTTGGCAACACGAGTAAATTGGGCGAAACAATAGAAATCGCGGACGAATTAACGTTTTACGTAACCGCTTCCGCGATGGCGCGGGAGAACCGTTCGCAACGAAAAATCGCCTTGTTATTATTCGTTGCAGTGGGCAAAAAAAAAACATGCAGGGGCGATTCGTCTTCTCCGCGGGAGTTTGGGCGAGCGGCCAGAGCGTGACAAAAGGGCAAGTTTTAATGGAAAAAATTGGATTTACAGAGAACAACAAAGGCCAATTATTTACTTGGATGAAACCTGGTTCGACACTTATGATACCCCGGAAAAAGGTTGGATTGGCTCAACTGATAAGTGTAAAACAAACGCGCCATCAAAAAGAGGTAAAGGAATAACTATTTTGCATGCTGGCTCTAAAGATGGTTGGATTCCAAATGGGCTTTCTCTGTCTGCGGGAAATATTAAAGATTCTTCTCTGGATTACCATGAAGACACCACCGCTGATTTATCTGATAGTTGGTTTAAAAACAAACTAGTTCCAAACATTCCTCCTAATAGCGTAATTGTATAATTGTAATGGACAATGCAAGTTATCACAGTAGACAGTTGGCCTTTCCTCATGTGACAAATGTAGATTGAACTGAGGCGGCTTTTACTTGATGAAAATCCAATAAGAACTAAAAGTTCAGATTTTCAAATGTCACATTTGCTACAGACGCGGTGTTGTCGAAACAATTGTCATGTGAATATATATAATTTCGTGAAAATCTGAACTTTTAGTTATTATTTATATAAAATGTACTAAAATTTCTATTTAGTGCTTCGTAAATAGGCCAAATTTTGTGTAGTTTGGGATTCGGATGAGTATGAAAGTCATAATATGGTTCATTATCAATTAAACAATAAAAAAAAGAGATAAAATATATTAACGTTTCTGTTTGTATCAGTCCTCTTAATATTAAAACAAATAATCCTTTGAAACATAGTTTCGTTATATTATCTTCCTAAAATTTGTCCCGATAACACCGCGGGTGCCACGAACTGCTCGGGAAGGGTAGATAGAGAGCGAGAGAGTCGACTTTTTCTTGCGAGTGACCGTTTTCGCTTGGGTTCGGTGCCGAAGGCCACCGATGGTGCAAGATGAGGTCGCCTCGCGCCGCGGTCACCTCCCGTGACGCGTCCGGGCGGCGGAGGGGGGAACTTGTGGAGGGGAAACGTGGAGATCCGCAGCGATCGTTGCGCCAGTAGGTTCGGCCAGAATGCACGGTTTGGACGATATCGCGTCGTCATCAGTTTTGTTCCGGTCGGTGTTTTTCCGGTGACTGGTGGTCCGGGACGAACTCGTACGTGGATGTGGAATGAGGTATAGCGCTTTCGCAGATAAACGGTTCCAGGTTGTTGTGTAGAGAAGAGCTTGGCGATAAGTACGCTGTCAAAGAAGATGTAGCGCAAACAAACAAAAATTCAAAAATTAGTAAATATCTGTGAATGTCTGGTCGGGCGGGGAGACCGTTTTAGGACTAGAGCTCTACGAAACCATATCTTGGGAAACTCGATGCCAATTACTTTCTTCAAAACTGCATAGTTATTGTTTCCTAATAAAAAAGCTAAAAACTGCTTTGACTGGAAAGTGCATGATAAATTTCTACTGTGCTCACACCTATTCGAGATTACTCTATGGTATTCCCTTTTGGGGAGAATTCAAGTCATGCGACATCTGTTTTCAGATCCCAAAAAAAAGTCCTTGGGTGTATTGCTGGAGTGTCGCCGGATAGTTCGTGCAGGTCCCTCTTCTGGAAGTTTAAAATATTGCCTTTAGCGTGTATATACATTTTTGAAGTTTGCTTATCTGTATATAAACATAAAAATACCTTACACAAAAACAACGGAGATTTCCACGACTATAGTACACGTAACGAAGACTGTTTCTGCGTAAAAAAATAGACTAGAATTTTCAAAAAAATATTTTACGAATACCGGTATTAGAGTCTACAATAGACTGTCCCCAGAGCAAAAACGCAGTAGTACAAACAAACCAAAGTTTTTGATCATAGAAAACTGTTTTTTTAATTTAAACGAATATTTTACCTATTAATGTTTGTCATCACTAACTAAATTTTTAATGTAATTTTCTGCCTCATTTGCATGATCTATATTGACCTACTTGACGAAAAATGATTTAAAAACTGCACACTATAAAAATATAATTAAAGAAAACAAAAACAATAGCAAAAAATTATGGGAAACATTAAGCGAATTCATCAACAAATGTACCTGAAAGAAATATGCATAGAATTATCGAGCTTTTCAGTGAACATTTTGTCACTGTGGGTGAAAAGATGGCGCAAAAAATATTCAAAAACAGTCAGCAATTGATCACTACTAGTACTACTAATAAACATTCCATTTTTCCTAACCCTGTTGTAGAAGATGAAATAAAAAATACGATTTTATCGTTGAAATCTGTATCGGCCCCGGGGTTTGACAAAATTACATCTTCTCTATTGAAAAAAATTCATATCCGTATCAAGCCCAGTCTGCCAAATTATTAACCTAATGTAAGTGCACTTCTCATTTCAAAAATGCTTTAATGAAACCCATTTATAAAAAAGCAGAAAACGATATTCTCGAGAATTACAGGCCAATAAGTGTCATATCTAATGTAACAAAAAATTTCGAAAAAGCCTTAAAAGTTCGGCCAGTTTCCTTTTTTTACCAAAAATAATATAATATGTAACTGCCAGTTTGCTGATAACAAGTCAACTATGTTGAGCTGCTCACTAACAAATTGAAAGTTACCTGAAAAGTCGACAACAAATGGTGGAGATTAATAACTGTTTCGGTAAGCCGAGAACTGTAACCTATGGAATTCCACAGGGTGCAGTTGTAGGACCCATATTTTTCAACTACTTGTAACTTAAGTTTCTTAGTGGTAATGATAAGTCAAATTCACAGATTCATTAATGTATTGTAACTATATAAAATCGTTTCTTTTTTTTTTTGTAGAATACTATGTTTTTTTTTTCATATTATGTAATAGATGGGAAACATGGTTACATTAATCTGCTTTATGTTCGAGGATGGCCTTCAAGTTTTAAGCGTGAATATGTTTTTTGTTGTATTAATATTTATTTGATGTTTACATTTTGTATTGTATTTTATTTAATTTAAATAAGTATTATTATTATTAGACATAGCGTGTACAACAAACAACACATTAGAACAATTTATATTGAAAGTTTAGGATCCAATAGACTATTTTTCTAAATCAGGGGTATAGTGTTTGAAGTCTGAAGATTGTAATGCAATTTATATCGGACAGGGGGATCTCCGTCAAAGTTCGCTAACATCTCATTTTGGTTAGTTGCCGAGGAAGTGTGTTAAACGTGCCCTGTCCTATAAAAAACTTAATTAAATTTGAAGAAACAAACTTTCGAAAAACTTAAACTTAAAACTAAACTTAAACTTACTTAAACGACGAAAACAATAATCTTCCACATAATCTAAAAATATTTGTTTAAAACGGTGAAATCTGGAAAATCATCTTGAAATCTGTGAAATCTATGTGTTATGCCCTAGGTGTTTCATCAAAACCGAAAGTGCTTCTACTTTGGATAGACAGGAAAGGAAGCCGGAAGAAGAAGAATTTACAAATTTTGAAAAATAGAATGTGCAAATTATCGTATTCCGCCCTAAATAAACAAATATATAACATCTCACCAATAAAATTCGTTTAATCCCTCGAAAGCCTATGTACCAGTCATTTAAGTCATAAGATGCATAAGATAAGGTCATAAAAGTGTGTTGAACGGTTTAAAGATTTCGAGGGTTTCTAAATATTTTGTGTTCCGTCGTAATTAAATCGGTAATAAAGTAGAAAAAAATTTTTGTTAAGCTTTTAAGTATGCTCAATTTTGTGGTAAGGTATAAACAAACATTGTTATTTAAAGGATACCTAATATTGCCAACAAGTGACTTAACGTGGGCCGCTTTAAATTCAACAAGAATTTATACGGATAAAAATTAGTTTAAACATTGTTAATTGAATTCGCCAAAACGCCTACTTGGGACGCCCTGTATAAACTTAGGCGCAGCTGTCAAACTGATTGAGTAGTGCATCATCTCCTTAGTCTGTGGTTAAATTTGCGTTGCATTGCCTGGATCGGTAGTGTCACAACAACATTTTATATGGGGCAATCAAAATATAAGGTTGTTCGGAAAGTCATTTCGTTTTTGCCTGGATCGGTAGTGTCACAACAACATTTTATATGGGGCAATCAAAATATAAGGTTGTTCGGAAAGTCATTTCGTTTTTTCCCGTCAGAGGACTTAATTACGTTTTTTCGAAACCAATTTCACCCTTACGCCGCATAACCATTATAGGTCTTGAGAGCTGATATTGCAAGGCTTGTGTGTGAAAAAGTTCTATTAATTCTACGCAGTAGTTTTTGGTTGGTGCCCTTTTAAATATGGAGAGCAATAAGCAGCATTTTCGTCATATTTTACTTTTTTACTTCAGAAAAGGTAAAAATGCTGTCCAAGCGAGAAAAAAATTAACGGATGTGTATGGAGAAGGCGTGTTAACAGTACGCCAGTGCCAGAACTGGTTTGCAAAATTTCGATCCGGCAATGTTGATGTCGAAGATGCACCACGGTCTGGAAGGCCGGTCGAAGCTGACAAAGATGCGATAAAGGCATTAGTTGATGCAAATCGGCGAATAACCACACGAGAGATCGGTGAGAGATTAAATTTGTCGAATTCGACTGTTTATGGCCATTTGAAAGGCATGGGCTTAACCTCGAAGCTCGAGGTGTGGGTGCCCCATGTCCTTACGGAGCGAAATTTGTGTCGTCGTGTTGACGTGTGTGATTTGCTCCTCAAACGTCAAGAAAATGATCCATTTTTGAGGCGGATTATTACTGGGGACGAAAAATGGGTTGTATACAACAATGTTAAACGCAAGAGGTCATGGAGCAGAAAAGATGAACCGGCTCAAAGCGTGTCAAAAGCCAACATTCACCAAAAAAAGGTGATGCTCTCCGTTTGGTGGGATGTCAAAGGAATCGTTTTTTTTTTGAGCTTTTGCGGGACAATACAACGATTAATTCAGAAGTCTATTGTCATCAACTGGACAAATTGAATGATTCACTTAAAGAGAAGAGGCCCGAATTAATCAACAGGAAGGGTGTAGTGTTCCACCAGGATAATGCGAGACCTCGCACAAGTTTGGTCACTCGCCAAAAACTTTTACAGCTTGAATGGGACGTACTGCAACGTCCACCATATTCTCCAGATCTGGCGCCTTCCGACTACTATTTGTTCCGGTCCCTGCAAAATTTTTTGGATGGCAAAACCTTTACCTCAAAAGAAGATGTCAAAAACCACCTGAACCAGTTTTTTGCCAGCAAGGACCAAAACTTTTATGAGAGGGGAATTATGTTACTGCCAGAAAGATGGCAAAAGGTGTTGGACCAGAATGGCCAATATATAATTTAATAAAATATTTATTCATTATACGAAAACTGTCTTTCATGTTCCCCAAAAAAAACGAAATGACTTTCCGAACAACCCAATATAACATAACCTCAATTTTTGCCTAAACTATGCAATATTCGAGTAGAAAGTGACCTTTATTGTAACCATGGATTCCAAAAATGTCGATGTCGGAGGTGTATCAACAAAGTTATAATATTTAAAATCTTCAGGAGAGTCCAAGAAACTTTTTTTCGTATCCCCGACGAGTTTCCGGATCGGTTTATTTAGCACACGGTGTACATATTAGTGAAACTTCTTAGGAACACGTTACGATTTCACATATATCACAGATTTTAAAAGCTCAGACGACGCACTTTGAGACATCGTATACCAGAATTATAAGAATGTTCGGTGGTGATTGCGATGTCACTCCACCGGCAATGGTAAACGAAAGACAACCTAGTTTTGGGTTTGTTGCGTTTCAGTGCGGTTAAGAAAAAAGAAAGCGTACCTAATTCCGATAATATTTCGGTAGCCTAGTTCGCTCGTAACGTTTATAATATAATTCTGACTTCGCGAAAGATTCTGTTGGATAATTAGCGGCAATATACATTAACTAAAAGTTTTCACGAAATTATATATATATATATATATATATATATATATATATATATATACTTAAGAAATGGTTCTTGGGTTTTTTTGGTCCTTTTTTAGTGAAATAAAAATAAGTTTCCGTTACTTGTGAAACATTTTATTTTTTGTGACGTTTCGGCCTTCAAGACCTTCTTCAGACATTTAATTTTAACCCACAAAAATGTGTTTTTAAATAAAATTATTTATAGCATTGTTTTCCTGGTCATAATTAAAACATAGATAAAAATTTG